ATCCTCCGGGTGAGTTAGGGTCTTAGCACTGCTTTTCTTTGAGTCTCTTGAGAAGATAAGCCAAATGGGACAGGAACTTATTTGAGACAATTGGCGCCTGGGCTGACCATGGTTCAGTTTTACGACTCTCACATGGTTCATAGGAGACCTTAGTTTTTCCGGTGGAATGCAGAGATTCAATCGTTCATTTGTGTCTGTTCACAGAGGCCCTACAAGGGTGTATAATATTTGTAAAACAAGGAATACAATACAAGGTTTTAGGGAAAGGAAAGGAGTTGGAATTTGTAATAATAGAAGTTTTGGAAAAAAAAGGAAATGTTAAAATTATAAATTTGTATAATCATGTAAAAGACTATCACTAGAGGTATTGGATGAATTGATTGTACATTTAGAAGGGAAAATCATATGTTGCGGAGATTTTAATGCTCATAGCACGTTATGGGACAATTGTAATGATGGGAATGGAATAGTGATTGAAGAATTAATGGAGATTAAGGATTTAGTATGTTTAAATGATGGAAGGGGAACAAGGATTAATGTAAGAACAGGAACAGAAGCAGCTATTGATCTTACACTTGTTTCAAATTCACTGGCGGGTATATGCTTATGGGAGGTGTTTAGAGAAACGACTATAGGGAGTGATCATTATCCTATAGTGATTGAAGTAAATTTATGTATAGAAGAGTGTAGTACAGGAGGAGTAGACAAATGGTTTTTTGAAAATGCTGATTGGGAGGCATTTAGGAGTAGTAGTGAACAAGAAATGGAAAAAATTGAAGTTAAAGAAGAGGTTGATAAGGTTAATAATGATATTTGTAATGCTATATTGTTAGCAGCAAGTCAGACTATTCCAAAGAAGGGAGGTAAGAAAAAAAAGAAGATTGTACCATGGTGGACAAAAGAATGTGATCAAGCAATTAAATCTCGAAATAAAGCTTTTAAAATGTTAAAAAAGAATCATAGTTTTCAGAATTTTATTGAATATAAAAGGAAGCAAGCAAATGTAAGTAGAATCATCAAATATACAAAAAAAAAGTTTTGGAGGAAGTTTTGTAACACAGTGGGAAGGGAAACAGAAATAGGTCAAGTATGGGGAATGATTAAAAGAATGAATGGGATAAAAAGAGAGTTTGGGTATCCAATTTTAAGGGATGGAGATACAACAGCTGTAAAAGATGAAGAGAAAGCAGAAATGTTGGCGAAACATTTTGTTAAAATACATAAATCAGATAATATTAGTGAGGAGGGAAAAAGAGGAAGGGAAAAGATGTTGGAGCAGTATAAAGAGATAATACAGAGTGAGGAATACAATAATGATAAACTAAATATGACATTTACGAAGTCAGAGTTAAATCGAGCTCTTAGAAAAACCAGGAAATCAGCTCCAGGTATGGATCAGATTTGCTATTTAATGATAAGTCATCTCAGTGAATTATCCAAGGATGTTTTATTAAAAATGTACAATAAAATTTGGGAGGAAGGAAAATTACCACAAAGTTGGAAGGAGGCGGTGATAGTTCCAATACGTAAACCTGGGAAAGATTGTACAAATCCAGGAAATTATAGACCTATTGCTTTGACGTCTAATATTGGTAAGATAATGGAAAAAATGGTGAATGAAAGGTTAATGTATCATGTGGAAAATAATAAAGTTTTATCCAAATATCAGAGTGTATTTAGGAGAGGGAGAAATACAATGGATCCGGCTGTGTGTTTAGAACACGAAATAAGAAAAGCACAAATAAATAGAGAGATCTAAGTAAGAATGAAATCAAGAGTATTATTAAGAAAAGACTGAAAGAAAGGTGGCAAAAACAATGGGATAAGGAGAAAAAAGGTCGGTGGTTTTACAGAATTCAAAGGAAAGTGGGAGAGATGAGAAGTGCAGGGAAAAACAGGAGAGATGAGATAGTAATATCGAGGATGAGATTTGGACACACAAGATTAAATAGTACACTTTTTAAAATGGGTAAACATGATACGGGAAGGTGTGAATTTTGTGGACAAGAAGAAACAGTGGAACATGTTACATTGTACTGTCAGAAATATGAGACTAAAAGAAGGATTCTAATGCAAAATTTAGAAAAAATAAAAATGCAATTTATACCGAGATATATTTTACAAAATAA